CCACAGATCCGACCCTTACGATCCGCGCCGCAGCTCTCCATCGGATTCGCAGGCCCGCCCTGCATGAGCTTGTCCGCCCGCGCCATTGGCGTAGTACATGCAGGTTGGACGGGAACTCAGGGAAAACCTTGGAAGCAATACCGTCACTTGAGCGCGACGCGACGTCACGTCATCAATATGAACGCGCGCAAGCCTGAATGAGCAACACGAGGGTTTCGCATAGCCGCGAGAAGACGTGCAGTGTAGTCCGGATAGTTCAACACCTGTTCCCCTGATGGAGCATGGGTTTGAACTGGTCTAACGTGAACTGCGCAACGGGACCCGTTCTCCAGCCTTTTGTCGCGTGCTTTCTATCTATGCCGTGTTACCCAGATACTCATTTGGCTACGAAATGGTGCAGATTGACGCAACGCCGCAATTAATGTTGGCGGCTGCAGCGTATAGGCGCATGTGGCGAGACGCAGCGCGTCGTCCTGAAGGGGATGTAAACAAGTGGGTTTCCCGTCTCAATTGGTTACGGGGCCGATGCCTCGAGACGGGCTTTTCGCAATGAAGTCGCCCAAAGAGACCGGTGTCGTGGTACCGAATGACTAACGACAGACACATGCAGTGGAGATTTTTGTGTTGGTATCGGAGGTGACTTAGCTGTTGGTGGGTCACCGGCGTCTAGCCCTCTAAGGACCTTTGACGGTTTTGGAAGCCATCAGATCGATCAGATAGTCAGTCCACCGCGGACACACGACCGTTTGGGAAAGCATGTTAAAAATGGTTACGATGACCGCGGCGTCAAGGGTTTTTACCCTGCACTCTGTTCGCCTATGCACCCGCGTATCGCAAAAACTGGGGAGGCGAGCAGCAAAGCGCACATACTGATCTGACAAATACCATGTCCTTAATGTTGGGGCGGTAATAGTAAGGATACTGAAATAGGAAGCAGTCCGGGAACGATCCACTCTATCCACATGGCAGCTCCACCAAAGCATCCATTTTGAAGGTGAGTACTGACGAACTTCTGCTCACCGGAGCATAGACTCGATCCGGTCCTCTACCTACACTGCCGCTCTATGCGCAACCAACCGCGCCTAATACCAACAGATTGCAAATGCAGGAACCACATCGTCCTCCATCCGAACCCCGGAATGAAATGCGCGCAAGTCCATAGCGATACCGAACCGAAGACGATCGTCCGGGTAAAGGTCTTCAGAGACCCCAGCCACATGCAAGTCAACTACCAGGGCATACACACGGAGCGGGACGTTCGTTATAGGTCCTGCTATGGGCCAAGGCGTAGAGAGTGTGTGGCTCGGGTAATAGAGAGGTCGTTTGGAATTACCCGTGCCGCTGAACGTGCTCGAAGCGAAGTCGGTTGTGCTCTTACATGGGACCTGTGTTTTATGTGCTCCGCAGGCATCAGTAAGCGTGCGCATGCATATGCACGCGTAAGCGACTTCAGGATGACATTGTGACGAATCGAGGGTAGAAGCGCGGTGCTCGTCCACAAAGAGACGGAACGACTAGCCTGAATGTCGTTCGAGATGCTGTTTCATGTGCGGTAGAACGTTCGTGAGGCTTCCTGAGGCATTCATTCAGCCTATGCGAGGTGTAAGGACTTCGCCGGTTACTCTTTTGATCGACAGCTGCTGCATTCTCAGAGTCCATCTCCAGCAGAGTAAGTACCTTGACTTGCATTGCATCTGATGAGTTGTCTTGACCCAGGGCAACCATGACGATCGCGCCAGTTCCAACAACTTCTGTATGTCTCTCTAACTTCCAGCTGGCCTTAGTGTCGATTTGGATATCGGTCCAGCTTGAAGCAGCTTCTGTGCGATGGTTATACATTAGTTTGTAACGATTAAGCAATGAGTGCTGACTGATTTTACATGGGATGGAAGCTGCTGGAAACCAACAATGAGGATCCAAACATTGAGGCCGCGCAGCTGTGCCGCAGTATGGTGGTGGAGTCGCTGCGATTGATACTCAATGACCTGCCAACACAGCATGTCGCACCGGCCACATCTGTACGCCAACCCTTCATGACAGCCTTCCAGGATTATAACATTGATGGGGACTCCGTTGTAATGTCTGCTCGAATACTAGACCGCATTACGAGCTTGCAGTCGTGCTTTCTTTGCGTTATTCAAGTCAGGCTCGTATCTTCATCCTCGCTAGTAGACCCGTCTCTGCGCAACTCACTCTTATCGAAATTCCTTTCCACCTAATAAGTTAAGGGTTTGACGCAATCCTGGAAGAAATGGACGTGTCGCACTGCAAACCTTACGGAGACATCGGCTCTTGTCATCAACAATCGACCCAACTTTCGACAGATTAGGATCGATAGGTCGTATTCAAAGATAGCGGAACACTTAGTAAGGTAGCCGGCGGGATGTTGTTCAGCTTCTCAAAGACGTGTGTCGTGAGTGTCAGAAAGATCTAAGTGTCAACTAGTTGAGTGCTGCATCTGGGCGGTCTTATCTCCGATGTCGCATACGTCATCAGTGGCCAACACTTTCGCGACGCGACACTCTGCTTTCATACGCCACAATTGCCATGTGGACCGCACCTACTACTTGATATATCTGGAACCCCAAATATCGCTTCTGGTCACAGTTTGCGCCCTTCATTAGACCTTGCACGCCCTCTCAAGTTCCTTGGTAGACTGCAATACAAGCCGCGCATCATGGCCTTCCGGATGGGCCGCTTTGTACCCGGGCCTGCCCGCTTTGTACCCAGGCCTTCACGCCTCACACCGCGGCGTCTTTTGTTCATCACATCTGCGGGCGTACTTTTCTGGTTTTTGTTCTTTAGCTTGACCCCAATCACCTCGCCGCTTCCGCCTTATACCGGACCCCATGAGGTTGGCATACTGGATGTTGAGACAGAGGTCCAAAAGAGAACCATCCATGATGCGATACTGAAGGCGACTGGAGAGAAGGCTTTTCAACTGGACACGTTGGCCATCACCTTATACTACCCATCCTCTCTGCCTCTGGCGCCGCCCAGCCAGCGACCATGGGCACGACCGTGGCTTCCTCAGCCTGTCTCGCTTATTGGCGAAGGCTATGCTCGTCTTGCCGGAGTGTCGAAATTATCTTCGGTCTTCACCTTCGGTCTCTGGCTCCTTGGTTCAAGCACAGTCATTCCAGGTGTCGTTGATGCACCAATCCTTTCCAGTGCTGAGCAAATTTTGGGCGAAGATGGTAGTGGTGCAGGCGAATTTGGAAAGATCATGAGCGCAGCAGAGCAAGAACATAAAGAGTTAAAACGAGGCGACGGTCTTGGAAGTTTGCCCTGCGTTGTCTTTACGCATGGCATGGCAGGAATGAGCCAGAGTTATGCACACTACCTGGGAAGCATTGCAAGCCACGGCTACGTAGTCGCTGCCATCGAACACCGTGACGGTAGCGGACCCGGTACCATCGTCCACCATCCTGATGGTACGGAGCGAAAAGTCTGGCACATGAAGCTCAAGGACCTAGAAGCCGATCCGCCGATGACCGACCTCGACCTCAAGGCCGCACAGCTCAACTTCCGTGAAGCTGAGATCAGCGAAACCATCAAACTCTTTGCGCAACTCAATGCAGGTGACGCACCGGTCGTGAACCTCAAGCCCGATTCACCGCGGAATGCTTTGCCTGGTTTCAAGAACCGCCTCAACCTGTCAGCAGTCACAGTCGGAGGTCACTCATACGGCGCGACGGGGGCTATGCAAGCACTGAAATCTGCTGGCTCAAAGGCAATGCCTATCAATGGTGGTATTGCCTTAGACCCCGGCAAGGGATCTGGACCCCTGAACAAGGACATCGACGTACCGATACTGGTCATGCAGAGCGGAGAATGGACAGAAAAGCAGACGGCTTTCTACGACGAAGGATGGCACTTTGAAGCCGTGAAGAATATCATCGATAACGTTAAGGAGGGGTGGTTCATGACTTTGTTGGGTACCGCTCACCCGTCTTGTACCGATGCGCCTCTTATCGTTCCTTGGATCATGAACATGGTCACCGGTACGACGCTAAGTAGCAAGGTTGCTCTCAAGGAGTACATCGACGCTTCGGTCGCCTTCTTAGAATACCTGCGGACAGGCGAGAAGAAGGGGGTTTTGGAGAGTGGTGTCACGAACGCTGGAGGGCCTTTCACACACGATAAACCACATGGTAAAGTCCAGGGCCCGGACGGCGCTGACTGGGAGGTTCACACCGTTCCAAAGTCGGAGTAGACTGCGCATCTTTTTGTAACACTATAATACTACAGCAAGTAAACGTGCTTTATCCACCTCTTTGTGCGTGACCGAGCCTTAAGCTGATCCACTCTGTCTCAATGGTACCTACACCAACGACCGCCCATTCCCTAAGCTCTCCGTAGCCATTCTGCCACTCAATCATCAATAAAAGCGAAGAAAAAACAAGTCATACCACTGGCAGGCAAAGTGATGCACTGTAGTCCTCGACGCATCCCAACCACGCTTTTCAGCCATCGGGCGCATATTCACCCGCTGCGCCTGTGCGTACAATCGCTTTACCACGGGTGATGCCTCAGCCTCGACAAGGCGACACGTGCATAAGATACCTTGATCAATCCGAACCCAAATTCCAATCGAATTGCGCGGTGGTAGCGAATTATCAGTACTGTGATACTCAACTACGACTTTTGATGAGTTGGTGAGGGAACTAGTAATGGGAACAAAGCACTCGCTGACGTGCTCATATATCATGAGTCGTATCTCGGTCGGGAGATCAAGTAGCCGGAATGGCTGGACCGTCTCGTTGGTCGAAGTACGAGACCGTGGCTTTTCATGAAAACGATTCATGATCTCGGGATAGAGGCTAGATTTAGTGTTAGGTATTAGAAGGAGGGAGAGTCTGGTATTGAGGTTGAAGTAGTGGTTGACTGAGTGGATAGCAAAGCAGCCCACCTGTGTTTTCATTACGGATGTCAAGCGCTAGGGTCATGTGTTCAAAGCGGAGTGGTGTGTTAATATTCATCTCATACATCCATTAGTCTCACTTGCCCCACAGCCCAAAGCCCTTACTGCCGCCTCTTGACCTAGGCTGCTGTTTCTTCTTCTTCTTCTCGGGTTTCTCTAATCTCTTACAGCTCACATCCGCCTTTACCATCATGAAACTCTGATCGAAGACATGTCCATTAGCATTACCGCATCGTTCGAGTGCAGGCGCAAGTGCCAATTCTACTCGCCTGCCCTTTGCGCTGCCATTGACGCCATATCCACCACTGCCGTTCTCGTCATCATCTTCATACACGTCCTCCATTTCACTGTCGTAGAACCCGTAGCCCCAGTATTGATCCTTCTTACCGCCAGTGAATGTAACGAAGCGATAGTCGGCGAGCTGGCGCTTCATCTTCAAATCTAACGCAACAGATGCTGAAATGATGGTACCCAGTTGTTCCTTCCCTGAACGCAAAGACTGTGTGGACCAGGGCCGTAGTTTGCGGCGCATGCGACTGCAGAAACGGGATATTCGTTTTAGGACGGGCGCGGCATCGAAAGTGGGACGCCATTTGCCATCTACCTGAGGGACTAGGAGGTTTACGGTCATGGCTCGCCATTGGTGGTATTCTTCGGCTTGGGCTTCGTTCTTAACAGCTGTACCTTGTTAGCATTGTAATCATTAGAGATTCACCGGGGGCGGGGTAGCGTACCCTTGCGCAATGTGTCGTTAATCTCGCGCAGCTTCCTGTCTCCCAGTTTGCCTGCCCATACATATCCACTGCCCTTCTGCCAGTTGTTGAATATCTTTTGCTGCAGCTTCATCCAAACGTATGCTTGGATGAGGAGCGGCCGTTCCTCTGGGTGCTTCAGATACGTCTGGTAGTTGTCCGTGAGGTTCCCAAACAGTTCCTTCGCTCTAGTGAGATATGGTCGCTTGCTCGTGGCTTTGATGGGTCCGCCGAAATACTCCTCACTCCATACTCGTATCTCATATCGCAACGCGAGTAGCTCTTCAATCAAAGTGTTCTCTTCAGATTTGTACACGATCGAACGTTTTGCAGGCATCCCATGTGGACCCATGCTCCTCCTCTGCAGCTGTTTCCTCAGCGCATCTCGCTCTTTTGTGACTTGGTAGTACCGCTGTATGAGATCATCTTGGCTGTTACCCCTCGACGCGTCTGGTCGCGATGGGCTTTTGGGCGGTACGAGGGGACTGATAGTCGCGCTCAGTCGTTGCGGGCTGCCCAATGCCGATGATTCGTCGGATGATGTCTCGGCCGATGTCGCTGTAACTTTCTCGAATTTGAGCGGTGGTATGTAGGGCGCCTTCCGTCTATGCCTGGGTATCAGGACCTCCTCGTCAGACCATTCGTCTCCGACTTCGGGGAATGGATAGCCTTCTTGCTCCATTACAGGTGATTCGAGGGTAGATGCAGATTGCAGTTCTTCAATGACTTCGGCGGAGGGGCAGGTCAGTTTGAGCGACTTGAGGGTAGAATGGCGGACGTCTATGGATGCGACTCGGTCAGCGCGCTATATCCCAATAGCCCCAAATGCCCACACGCACCAGGAGATAGAGTCGCCATCTCAACAAAGACTGAGCATGTTTGCCCTTCTGGTATGCGCTCAATGTTGATCCCGCGAGCGGTGAAGCCTCTTGGTAGTCTATGCTGCTATGCGTCCGCGCAGTCTCATCTCAGATCAGCTTCGGACAAGCTCGCAGCGGGGCCGGCGATGTTTATGGCCTTGGGAGAGTAGACGGAATAATCTGGACGAGTTGACGGGCACGCCCTCAGCAAGGAAGATGGCATGGCGCAGGCAAGCTTTGCTGCTATCTAGCCCAGCCTCGCCGCGAAAGGCAGCCCTGGCGGTTCAGCATGAACCACTAAGAGCGGGCAGACGACGAAACGAGCTGCAATCACACCAGTGACGTGTGACGAAGTGCATGCAGACGGCGATGGGTCCACGATTGGGTGAAAAAGAGGAGGCTGTCGGCATCTTCGCTTATCTAGCGTGCGCCTGTCACCTGAACCGCGACGGGACGACTTCGGATCCACCTGAACCATGTTCTTGCCAGAAACAACACGTCTTTTCGTGTTCACGACCGTCTGACACGACATGTTCACAAACTCAATTCTGCTGTCATGGTAACTTGACAATATACGCAATTTCCGACGCGCCAAAAGCACAGCGCGCAAAGGCCGCTCGGGCGCTCTAGAGGACGATAACAAGCTCCGTCCTGGAGTACCAGAATACCTCCGGCCTCCGCATTCTCCACACTGCACATCACCAATCATCTTCGGGTACCTTCCCTAGTACCTTCCCCAGCCCCTTCATTGCAGTAGAGCAGCAGTCACCCCATCCCTTAGCTTCAATGAGGTCCCTGTCTTTGCCCAGCAATTCCCCGGTGGTGGCTCGTTAACCTTAAATGCCACTGAATTACACCTATCACCCCCGGCTTGTAGGTAGTTCCAATTCGAGCAAAGCGCAAGGCATGTATTGAGGTCTAGGACGAAAGCCTTGATTAGTGTCCGCCCGTCGGTGTCAAATCCACAATGCTTGATGAATTCGTATTGTCCTGGATTGCCCCCAGGTGTCCTGGGTGTGAACGATGTACTGTTGCTGGCTGGGCAGTCCGTGGTTACGAGGGAAGGGGGTACGCTCGTGGGTTTAGAGGATGAGAGGCTCCGTAATCCGGAGGACGTTCTGTCACTTGAGCCGCCTGTGCTGGACAGAAGTATAGAGGTTGGCGCGCTGCTCACACATTAGTATACATTTGCCAATGGTTTCTCTAGGCATGGGGGAACTACCTCTGCACAGAAGATGGTGGCGCATTTTTCCTGTTCCCTTTGACTGCTAGCGAGCCACCTACAGCTCCGCCCACAGACGCAGCGATTACGACAATGCTTACAACGACCAGTATGGACCAGAAGAGCCACGGTTTCAAACTTCCGATCGATTTCGACTGGTTCTCTTTGAGCGTGGGGTTTCCCGTAACGACATGTTGATAAATCCAGGCTTCCTTCCCTTCATCTTCGTGCTCCACGGCGTGCAGACCTGATCCGACCACAGGGAGACCGTCTCCACCACAAGGTTCCGGTAGGTTATCGCACTCGATGTGTCTCGACATGACACTGTGAGTAGTCTGAATGGGCTCAAGATTGTCTGCCTGCTGTTGACCTTGATCTTGATCTTTGAACGAAAATCCCGTAGATGTAAAGAGCTATATAAATGTCCAGCATCTATTGAAGGTGTTCGCATTGCATGGGTTCAGTTGGTAAAAGCATATCTTATTATATGGTTGCGTAAAAGCGCTGGGTGTGTAACAGATACGATGCCACATAGGGGCGAAAATTCTAATATAATGTGAGATACGAATAGAACTGAACAACATTGCCTGAGAGCAGTTATACGATCACACGACGCAGCTGTCTATTTACATCCAATAATCTTATATAGAAATGGGGCTGGGAAGGGTGAACCTGGGGTATGCCTCCAAGGCTGACTGCAAGTATCGGATGGGGCGGTTTTTCCAAATTTGACCTGGTCCGAGAAGACTGAGACGTTGCTATCCTCACTGTCGGTTTTCGTTCCAAATTACCCTCTCACTCTTATGGAGCATGTAAATCCAGTCAGGAGGTCCGGAGATGCCTCCATTCCCGTGCAAGTCAGCATCCCGCTGGTTCTCATTGAACTGTGGACGATAAGCGCCTCTGTGCTGCCTGTGATAAGCACATTTTTGTGGATCCCAGTCTCTAATTTTTTCCGTGCACCCAATGCATCTGAGTATATAGAACTGTAGCCGGTAGATCTATGGTAAGTGTCGACGAAGCGGAAGGGGGACGTGAACTAGGAATTAGGACCTCCGAGGTCACGAATCAAGCTTGCGCTTTCGGAATCGCGATGTAACTTGGATAGTGCAGGGCAGTCGAAAAGCACGGCCAGTCACAACAACTGACCGACGCCGTTCTGGTACCTATCAACTGAATGAATCGAATACCGCAAATGATTCCTTCCGGTCAGTGTGCTTATTTCTGACCGTCAGATTTTGTAGCTGGAAGCAGTTATCACTGTGACAGGACGTTAGCATGTGATACTATGACGACACAGGGTCCACATCCGAAGCTGGAGACCTCGGAGCACGTCTAGGCCGTCAACGGGAGTGGCATATGAAACTTCCATGCATGTACCGAGGTGTCTGCTGCTGTTAACCTTGGAAAGCATTGGTCGGATAGTTCTCGGAGGAAGATTGTTGATCGTCGCTAAGGCCCAAACGGGTAACGGCGGCCCGTCAGCTAGCGGGGCGAGAATCGCAACGAACACCAAGGCGCGACGGAACCAATTCCTCCCCGGGGGCCGATCCACCCTGTCGAAAACTTCAAGACTCTCATGCAGACTATCGCAAACCGTCCCCGAGCATGGTTGAATCGAAAGTCGGCATATCGTCTAATTCGCCGGGCTCAGCAAGCAAACCCAGCGGAGGACGACATCGCGTCATCTCCTCTTGTTTGACATGTCGGCGCAGGAAAGTCAAATGTGATCACGTTCATCCAGTTTGCGGTTCTTGCATGCGAGGAAGTCATGTGTGTACCTGGACAGATCAAATACCGGCATCCACTACTACTGGAAGGATTTCGAAACCCACGGCTGGGACCACTGGAAAGACCGGGAAAGGCAGTGACGTGCAAGCCCGGTTAGACAGACTCGAATATCTTCTAGAGAAAGCTGTTGCGGGACAGGGGGCGAAATCCACGGCATCCGTACGGTCCAGTGTTGAATTAGACAGGAAAGAAGTGGAGGCGCTGACCCCATCGTCGAATAGTCAGACTTCCCATGGAGGAGGAATCGCTTCTGATGGTGGCGACGGGACCCTCTTACTGAATGATGGGCAGTCTCAGTTTGTCTCTTCTCTGCATTTTGCATTACTGGCCGATGAGGTGAGTGCCGCTTTTCGACATGACAGAACATTGCTCCGAGTTACACCAAGCGAAAGCTACATTCATTCTTATTGTATTTTTCTGTTTCTAGGAAAACTGAACAATACTGATTGAGCTTTAGATACAAGACATCAAGGCCTTGCTTGGTGACAAGACCGACGAAGAGAGGAAGGAAGTGCCGCAGAGCAGTCTGGTTGACCTACTTTCCCTCGGTCGCGCAGGAGCCGGATCAAATCTAGAAAATCTGCTACCGAGCACAAAAGAGCACCGTGACACGCTGCTGGACGTCTATTTCGCAAATGTAGATCCTATGGTGAGAATTACCCATAGGCCAACAGTGGTGCGCAAATTTTCCACCTACAACGACGAAGCACATCCTATGGCCTATGCCATCTACTTCTCTGCGATCAACTCTCTGCCTCCAAAGGTAGTACACAACAAGTTTGGCGAGACAAAGGAATCGCTCCTCGATCGATTTCAGCTGGGTGTTGAGATCTCTCTGGCTCGTGAAAACTATCTCACAACATCGAATCTGGAGATATTCCAGGGATTTGTTTTATGGTTGACCTGCATTACCAGAGAAGAGGATATGGGTAAGTGTATTAGATGTTCATGGTTCTGCAACGCTCACACATATAGCAGGAAAAGCGTGGGTTCTGATAGGCATCGCATTTCGCATCGCTTTGAATCAAGGCCTGCATCGAGATCCATCGTTATTCCCGACCGGCTCCATGGACGCTCTGACTATTGAGCTACGTCGGCGTATGTGGCATCAACTAGGGCATTTGGAGTTCCGGGCAGCAGAATGCAAAGGGCAGGAACCGAGCATCACCGAAGACTTCTACACGACGCTATTTCCACGAAACATCAACGATGAGGACCTTGTAGATGGTGCAAGTCCCGGTCCGGCCCCGTATGACGAACCGAAGTTTACTACTATGACGTTCCAACTTGTCCGGTTCAACGGCATGCGAGCTCTACGGCGTATAGTTCAAAGCACTTACCGCCTTGAACGCCGCATGCTAGACTCAGGACTCCATGGAACATCTCGCCCTGATCCAGCACAAGAACTCAGAGATCTTTATGAGCAGATCAAAGTGATGCTCGACGAAGTTCACGAAGAGAACCAGCGAAAATATCTGCATAACCTTAACCCGGAGGTGCCAATGGAGAGGCTGACGCTGGGACTGGCTTCACTGTTGGAGTGGCGTGCCTACTTACTGTTTTGGCTTCGGATGCCGCGTGCTTACCGCGATGTAGTCTTTTCGGACGAGATCCGCCGATCGTACGTTCCAGTCAGGGCCCTAATGAGAAACAACAATGGCTGACAATGCTAGGATCTTCGAGAAGTCAGTAAACTGCGTCGAAACACTAAACGGAGCGGCAGCCGATGTCGATGCTGCTCGCTTCCAATGGCACATTGGTCCGTAACCCCGACAATACCTACCCAGTGAGACACAAGAGCTAACTTTCAAAGGAGGAATCGCGTCTTTCCAAGCCATCATGCATATCCTATCAGAACTCCGCAACCCCCTCTTCAACGCACCTGACCGCCAACGCGCTCTAAGAGCCCTCCAGATGTCTCGTATCCTCCGCGAGAACAACAGCGCCAAAGCATGGCAAGCAGTCAAAAACATGATCGACAAGGCCGTCTCAGAACACAATCTCTCGCCAAGAGGGCCGCCGCAGCCATCGACTACCTACGTCAGCCAACCCATCGTGCCTTCCATTCCCATGCCGCTGAACAACAACGCACCCAACAGCAACACGGGCGTATATCCGGCAATGCAAGGCATCCCAAGCTACGCCTACCAAAACCCGTCTGCAGCTTATAACCAACAAAACATGCCAGGGCCATCTCAACCAGAACCCATGCAAACTCAACCCGACTTGCTACAGTCCATGCAGTCCATGCAAGACAATGCGCCTTGCTGGGACGACATCAATCTCAACAACATCAACAACATCGTAGGCGACGTACAAGCTAGCACGGATGTAATTCCCGACTTTGATTTCGTAAGTGACCATGACATGATCAGGTAGACAGGGTCATTTGGCTAACAAAACAAGGGTTTCTGGGGCGACCCTTTTAACTACGAAAATGAACCTGCAGCCATGCCGTTGCAAGATGGCTACTTTCCTCAGTGGAGTGGGGGAATATGAAGGCAACGCACCAAGTCGCACGAATAACTTCATTCACAACTCCAACCCAAAGGACCGGTACCGCAGCGCGATCATTACGTCTACGAGGGGCTCTTCCCTAGGTAAGAGCAGACGACGAACAACCACTTATCATCTTCGCCAATCACTCTACTCTCAATAATATCTGCCACCGACGCATCATATGGTTCTCTACACTCCCATGGACGATGCCGCTGTTCTCAAGCGAACCAGTAACCCTTTTAGCGCTGTCTCGGTTTTCGACGCGAGTCGGACATGGGCTAAGGAGACCTAATCCACCACTCTTGCTGTTCATGTGTTGTGTTTAGTATGGCGTTTGCTGGAGGTCCGCCCTGGACGATGGCTAGAACGGACGGATATGTGCGTGTTGGCATAGAGCTCAAGGGTTATTAGGGTCAGGCGTTTCATAGATCGAACATAGAGGAGCGGGTCTTTGTGGTAACATTAGCTGTAGGAGTCGAACATCAAGAAAGCATCCAATTACATGGACACGTAAAAACAAGCCGCATGCAGTGTGTTTGTACAAGCCGTGGAATTAAGTTGGCGAATGGCAAAAGCATCAGACGTCCATGTTATACAATTAGCAAGCGCATAGTCGCTCAACCAAGTTCGTACGTAAAGTGCGAGCGAACCGAACAAGCTCTTTCAAGAAAGACAGCTCCCATGCACACCATATGCCTGGGAACCCCGTAGAAACGGCACGCCAGCCCATCTACTCGTCCTTGACACCGCCACGGCCCGCACGCTCAGCAGCCTCAATGCTCTTCTTATCCGTCTTGATCTCGCCGCCGCTCATGGCGCCCATCATGCCACCAGCCGCCTTCCACGGCCTAGCGAGGTCACCGGTTGCCGGCTGGCCGAAGAGGTGGACCTTGACGAGGTTGCCTTCGAACGCGCCCTTGAGGGGGATGATGGACTGGATGAGGAGCGGGTTGGTGTACTTGAAGTAAAGGTGCATCACGCCCATCATGCCGACACCCATTAGCTGGGCCTTGAAGAGCTCGCGCAGCTTCTGCAGGTCGTAGGCTTTGACGGTGGTAGCGACGAATTTCGGTTCTTCGCCTGAGCCCATCGGGGCCGGCTCGACGTATTTGACGACAGTCATGTCTGTGGTGTGTTGTTAGTCGCTGTGTCGGTCTACCCTGGGCTTTCTTTGCACGCACCATTCTTCTTGTTGATCTGCGCCTGCACGTAGAGGTAGATACCCGCGATGATCAAGTTGGAGACGATGTAGAGCGCGCGCACGCCGTTGAGGACAGTCGGGTCGTCGAAAGGTATCTTCTTGGAGATTTGCATAAATCCCAGGATGATGACCAGGTTGGAACTACAGTCGAGTTAGCAAACTGTCTTCAACACCGGGCGCAGTGGATCCGGCGTACATTTGCGGGCTGATGGCCATTGTGACGTTGGAAGCGGATTGTTCGGGTGAAGAATTGAAGGTCGCTTTCGCGATCGTTTGACAAGAAGCTGGGGGTAGAGATGTGGTTGCGCGAAACGTGGGTGAGAGGGTAAAGACAAGCGGGCGACTTTTGTGGTGGGCGAGGGTCATGATTAGCGCGACCCAAGAGGCCAGGTTGTTGCCCGCCGCTGGCTAGCCCCAACAGGCATTCACCCTTCTAGTCTTATCTAATGCCTTCTCTAGACACATAGGGCGAGAACGACTCAGAAGTCTTGGTGCGCGTCACGAGTATAGAAGGTGCACAGGTCTATGATGGAAGATTGAGAAGGCCATTCGCGCCTTCTGATCGTTCTGATGCAGGGTATCATCTATAGTCCCCAACATGCATATGCCATAACAAATCCAATATCAAGCCATACTCTGCATGTTCCAATGACGCCGCGCTAATGATTCAAAACTCCCTCGCCGGCTTCGCAGACACCCAATCGCGAAATGGTGTCGCGGCGATATGCAATGCAAACAACCAACGAACAAACAGAGGGGAATTTCTCCCACATACCCAAATCCTGTCTTCCTCACATCACCAGACATTCGCGATCCGGCCTGTTCTTGTCCTTATTCTTCCCTTTGTCTAGGACTGTACCAGGTTCCCTACTCTTGCTCCTCCGTCTGTCTTTCTTCTCCTTCTTGCTCTTGCTGCCCGACAGACCTGCTTCTTTCTTCTCTTTGGCTGGAGAGTGGCCCTGTTGATCGTTCTCTACGCTCTTCACTTTTTCAATCACAATGTGAGGCTCGTCGCTGGGGGCTGCTTCAGTCGTAACCAGCTTGTCCTTGCTACCGCGTCCCGTTAGCCTCGATAACGTAAGAGACAAACGAGTCTCGCCGCTTGGACTACCTGGTCGACTTCTGTTGTTCCCAGACAACCATATTCGAGAGCCGCGCCGGGATACGGACAAGAAGCTGCTCTTCTGATCATCTGGTGTTTGCGGTTCAGTTCGGCCACGTAGGCTGCCTTCGCCATCCTCGATCGCGGTGCTGCTGCGCCGATTACTGGACATGCTGGTTCGACTAGCTGGCTCGTCTGTAGAATTGGATTCAGTATGCGGATCTTTGGTGTTGAAGTTGTCGTTCTCTACACCGGCCTCGGCATCTGCGGCTGTTGTAGAGGGCAGGGAAGCCAGCGTTTCTCGTGAAGGGTCGACGGACGGAACTCCTGATTGCGCTTCTGCATATGTGGGCGGATCTCCCCGGGAAGCGAGCTCTTCATCAATAGGCTGCACTTGGTAAAAGAGCAGATACGGTGACTCTTCTCGCAAGGCTGTCTTAATGTCAACTTCAGTCACCCGTTGCGGCGAGAGATCGTCAAAGCGTATCCACTTTTCCAGCTCTTCCTCCGAATCTGATTGCGCGGTGCCAGGTCGTTCGCGAGCGTTGGCACGGACAAGCGCAATATAGTGGCCAGAGTCGACTGATACGCCCCGATGACAGACGACAGACTGGAGGACAAGTTTGAAATTGCCAAACAGCGGACCTTCTTCTTTCATCCGATCATCAGATATGAAGTGAGGTAAACCGATATCAAGCGGAATGTCGATATATGTATTCAGACGCTTTGGAGCGCCGTGCGGCGTCATCGTGTATCTCTTCAGGCATATGCCGAGAACCGGACGCTTCACCGAGAAATGCGCAGCGACTTGAGCATCGGTCTTTGGTACATTGTCGGTATACCAGGGGATGAGACTGAAAAACTGCCAAGCCGGCATGAGAATCTCCTTCTTAAGTAGAGAAGCTGATCGTGGTCGGCCGCTAGAGCTGTTGTCCAGCATGTCTTCGACATGCTTCTTCTCATCAAACTTGCTCGTTTCCTGTGACTGACGTGTATATCGCTGGCTGAAGATACTATCAGCGCGACGGCGGCCTTGCAGGTTTGGTCGCGTTGGAGTTAGTGGTGTGCTTGGCTCGTAAGTCATAGGCGTAGAGACGAGAGGGGTCATCGAGCCCTCCATCTCCATCGTCTCTATATGTATTGTCTCATTCTTCTCAGGATCCTTGTCTACGAATTCTTCGTCTTTGGACTTGATGGATGCTATCGTATTTTGCCGTTGCAGGTATCGCTTGACCTCGATTCTGTTGTTGAAATAGGTTTCCAAACAGTCTTCCAATGTGACAATGTGATCGCCCTCTTGTTCTGGAATGGCGACTTCGAGCAGCCGTTCGTTGACGAACTTGTGGTCATCTTCCTTGTCTTCACGTCCGGTGTGGTAGATGTCCATCTTGAGGGTGAGTAGTGGCAGCTCGAGCGCACCAGTGATAAAAGTGAAAGCCTCCGAAGCGTCTTGTTGACGGACCTGTGCAGCATCTTCCCATCCGCACTTGGCAAGCGAATCCTGGAGGTGCTTTGTCTACGATTTGCGTTAGCCACGGAGGAGTTGGATGACCAGGTAGGTTGTACCAAATCGACCTTGATGAGTTGACCACTCCTCAAGAGATTGACCCATAAGCGCAAGACAGCCGCCAATTTCTTCCTTGGCTCATCCTCAAAGTTGTCGTACAACATGGCCTCAAAGCTGTCGAGACGCGCGAACATGGCAAACAGCAGCGCGTCCAGGTAGCACGTCACCATGTTCCGGTTTATGGCGCCCATCATGGTTACATCAGGATTGAAGTCCTTCAGCTCGCCTTCGAGCGATTCGTTGGCGAGCACCAGAAGATCGTAGGCTTTGTCGATATCGTTGGGATGCCAGGCGAGGGCATGTTCGGCCTGTTCCTCTCCCATGCTGGTTATGCCGGCGCCTTGTAGGCGTGAAAGGAGCATCTTGACCTGCAGCCGGTTAGCCAGGTTGCATGCAGCCTTGTTCCCTCGCGTACCTTCTTCTCGGACTCATTGTTCGCTGGCGGTCTGGGACCTTCGCTCGTGAATATTCTGTAGAGGTCGGGCGAAGCATTGGTGGATTTGGACTGTAGAGACACATAGTCAGAAGAATGCGATGTTGAAGGTGGATCGGCGTTGGGTGTAAGAGAAGAAGCACGGCATGGTAGCTTCTGGTGTAGAAATAGAAGACTATCCTCTACCGATGTTCGCAGTACAAATGGGAGCTTGTGGTACAGCGTCTCGATGCCGGCAGACAAGCGCCGCTGGCAGCTGGGCGCGTCTTCCGGCAGCGCAACGGCGGCAGAGCATAGCAAAGGACTGAGAGAGTTGACAGAAGCGAAAGAGCTCAGGCGTACTTTGGTATGGGCGTGCTTGGACGCGCGCTTCTCATGATGCTTGTCGCGCCGGCTGAGAAAGCGTGACATGCCGTTCATGGTGGTGGACGGTGAAGGCGAGACCCATTCAGTGAAGGGAACGCGGCGGTGGGTAGCGGGGCAGGCAGCGAGCTTGGGTTCGGTGGTGGAGGAAGGTGCAGACGAGCCCTGCGCCCGGTGGTCGGTGGGGAAGCGAGAGGGTGTTTGGGGGCTGGCTGGCGGCCGATGGGAGTTTGTCGGTGAAAGCGCAATGGTGACGCGCGGTCAAAGGAGCGGCCAACAGACAGTGACCTCAACGCAAGACACAAAAAGAAAGATACGAGCACAGCATGTCCCC